TCCCATTGAAAAACGTATCAGTTTAACACGACTATGATTTTAAAAGTACCATTATAATATTCTCATCGGTAATGTTAAACACTCATCTCCTGTATTGATTAATTGGCGTTGTTGGGTTTGGTCGTGTCAAAGATTCGTCGTCAAACCTCCATCCGATACAGCCAATTAATAAAAAGTGCCACGTGAATAAACGTGGCAAAATTAAAAATGGTTCAGCACACCGGTGATTTGGAGAGCAATCTTAACATTTAAATGGATATGAAGTTTCACTGCAGAGTACATTACTTCGTGCAGCGCCGTTTGTTGCTGGGGCCGCTTGTATTTTTGGTCCCGTGTTCAAGCAGCAGTTGATTTGGCTGCTTCTCCTCTCGACAACTACACCGGCCATCATCCCCTCCCGCAACGTGTCCTGCCCACGCCCAGCTGATTTTCTTAAGTCAAATGCCCCACTACTGTACTGTAAACGTCGAACGTTGGGGCGTCAACGGTTCTAAAACCGCATGCCAACGTTCGCCCAACGTTGCATATTTACTGGGATGATGTCTCTTACGTTTGACTATTTTCTCTGAACCGCATGCGAATGTCATGGTATAATTCACACTTCTCCCTGATTCTTTGTGCACGTTTCCAACCTGCGATAATTGCGCCTATTTCATGACTCTGATCAACGTTGGCGTATCAAGGTTTTTGTTTCTATTTTTGCATGTGTATGGGAATATGTTCGTGAGCTAAATGGCAATGTCCAAGGACTGCTAGCCACGAGAGGGCTTCAGGAGAGTGAAAGTTCGTGTATTTTTTGTGGGGTGGGCCCCTTCAAACACATTTAAATAGCAAGGTCCCCACGCTGCTCTGAGATGTTTGGAAAACAGAACAGGACCCTGCGGGGTGGGCTGGTAGGAATAATACTTAGTACCGGTACAGGGATATTGACCGGGTATAGAGGAGTTAAAGAAAAAATTACTGTATTCTAGTGTAATGTTAATTAAAAGTGTTTGTTTTGACAAGAAACGCTGTGAGATTTAAAGACCCCCCAACACCACCCCTTACCACCATCCCCCACCACCACCACCTTCTGCACTAGGCCTCGCGAAGCCTGCCGCACTAGGCCTCGCGAAGCCTGCCGCACTAGGCCTCGCGAAGCCTGCCGCACTAGGCCTCGCGCCGTGCTTTTCGTGCACAAATAAGGCGATTAAATGTATCTCGTCTCTGTGTTAATAAATGTTTCTTGTCTCTGTGTTAAAAAAAAACGTGCTGCGTTTCAGTAAAGTAATTTTTTTTTTAATAAGCGTGCTGCGTTTCATCTCTGTGTTAATAAGCCTGCCGCACTAGGCCTTGCGAAGCCTGCCGCACTAGGCCTCGCGCCGTGCTTTTCGTGCACAAATAAGGCGATTAAATGTATCTCGTCTCTGTGTTAATAAATGTTTCTTGTCTCTGTGTTAAAAAAACGTGCTGCGTTTCAGTAAAGTAATTTTTTTTAAAAACGTGCTGCGTTTCAGTAAAGTAATTTTGAAGCGAAGTTTAAAGTTTTGCCGTGATGCGTCGGAAGCGACGGCCATCTTGTTTAATTCACAGATCGCAGGGGGAGCGGGCGGCCATCTTGTCGGACAGGGTCATACCAAGTGTTTGCAGTAGGGGGCGATGTTGATACACGGACGGACGGACAGTCGGACGGACGGACGGACACATTAATCTATTGGTGGTCTGGTCCACTTCGTTCCTACCAGTATAAACCCGAGCATTCACTCCCCAATCAGCCCAGTATTTTCAGAACACGCTGCTCAACGAAACGCATTTTGGAAATAGAAACTACAGCGGATAATTGCATGTTGATAACATGTCTATTACAACCATCAAACAATTTCATATTCTTGGTTCTTTCGGTAAAGTCACGTAAATTTGAAAAACAAAAAAAAACACATTTTTCAAAATTTCTTACTGTGGTTTTCACACCTGATGATGATTGCTTGTGTTGCAATCGAAACGTCGTGAGGATTTTATTTTTATTATTTCCCTTCTCTCTGTTTCAATGAACAAATTTGACCTAAGGTCTACACTCATTTACCAGCTTCATATTCCTTATTGCCGTACATATACTAGAGGAAAGGCCTTTGCTATTGATGCCCCCAGGGTCTGGAATGCTATTGCCAATAATTTGCAACTTGAGTCACTACCTATGAGATCTTCACTCAAAACTGCTCTAGAGGAGTTGTACACCCCTAGCTGCCAGTGCTATTCAGTGGCCTAAAATAACATGTTTCGCTCCGGATGATTGCTGCAAAGTATGACCTGTGTTTTGATTTAGTGTGCTGATCTTAAAGGTGCATTGAAAAATTATAATACTCCGACTGATGCTCCTGCTGTTGTGGAGTGACTCATGCAGCCAGCTATGGTTGCAGGGTTTTGGTAGTACATGTTGTTTGTCGTTTATTGTGAAAATTCTGTCAGTTCCTATGATCACTGTTTCATTGCTTTATTTTGGGGATTTCTAAAAGTTTACTGGTTTGGCCATGTTTGTTTGTTGTAGTACGGAGTAAGACTGATGGCCTTAATCTAAGTTGTCTTGTGGTTTTTGTTGTTGTTTGACTTGCATCCTACTGGGATTTTTGCACACAGCGTTGGTGTACGGTGTTTTTTCTGCAATATTTTGCTGTCTTTTCTTGGATTTTCTGTTTGCACTTAGTCACATATTCACTTTAAGATGTTTTCTTGTTCATGATTTTGTTTTTTGTTTGTTGCGGTTGCACCCGATTCAAGAGCCGAATGGCTCACAGGGCTATACCTAATAAATGAACTTGAACTTGAACGTGACTTTACCGAAATAACCAAGAATATGAATCCCCGCAGTCACGAAAGCTTTAAATCGAAACATCAAAAATGTTGTTATTTTATTTTGAGTTGTATAGCTTTTTTTCAGAAGCGACCTGGCCACAAGTGATAGCCCAGTGGCTTATCACGTGGACATTTATAGCAGGCAAAAACTCGAGACGCGTGCTTTTAATTGTGGAGGGAAAAACCGGAGGACCCGAAGAAAAATCCAGGAGACCACGGAGAGAAAATGCAAACTCCAAATATACAGGCGTTAGGATCGAGATCGAACCCACAACCTCCTGTACACCAGGCGAGGTGGTTAACGTTTCGCCAACGTTTCTCAGTGCGGCAGCATCCAGGCCCTAATGCAGCCTCTTTCTCCTCCCTATCATCTTTCCTGACCCATTGCTCCCGTGTTTACGTTCCCTGTCCATCATTTTCCTCTAATTCCCCATGCTACCTACCGTTTCCCTTTTTATTTTCGCATAATGTATATCCTTCACTCTAACTCCTCGTGGTGTGCCACGGGGGCCGTCCATAAATGACGTCACGCACCTAGGGGGGGTCAGACATTTGTGACGATGTGTGACGAGGGGGGGGGGGGGAATGTGACGTCACGTAAAAATGCGCAACTTTAAATAAATATAGACAGCACGTTCCACTTAATGAAATAGATGTTTTGATAAATGTTTTCTCCCACAACATCAGAGTGCAGCGGCACATTAAAAACGCACTACAATGACAATAGTTTAAAGCGATTTGAAGCACTTTTTTGGGGGGGGGGGGCAGAGTTTTGTGACGTCATATTTGAGGGGGGGTCTGACTTTTTGTGACGCCGTGTGACGAGAGGGGGGGGGGGTCAAAAATCGTCCAAAATCGCGTGACGTCATTTATGGACGGCCCCAGGGGTAAAAAGTTGCTTGCAAAATTAAAATCAAACATCAGACATTACTTTCATGCAAGCCGTCATGCTATACATATCAAAATGATAACGCACTTTGTTGGGCTATCATTTGTCTCAATTCTAGATTTGAAGCTTTCGTGACTGCAAGGATTCATACTCTTAGGTTTTTTCGGTAAAGTCACGTAGGTAAAAAATAAAAAAATAAAAAAGTTTAATGAAAGTAAAATAAAAATCACGACGTTTCGGAGGCAACACAAGCTTCCGTCTTCAGGTGGAACCGTCACAGCACACTTGCTGTATCAAGTAAATGAGAAATTCCAAGAGACCTGACCTTGTTGATGGGGGAGGAGCCAGAGTAGGCCCCTGGATAGGAGTTTTTTTAAATCCTTTATATTAAGTTCGCTTGCTTGCTTGCGTGCTTGCTTGCTTACGACCGTGCAAATCTTTCGGTCGTTTTTTAACCCACTTCCCGTGATCCAATCGAGCTGACATTTTGCACACAGACTCGTTGTGCGAGACAATGTTCGTGAAAGTTTTTTTCCAAAATTTTACACTGTTTAGGGAAAACAAATTAAATATTTAATTACCAATTGCTTAATACTGGCAGACAATCATCTGACCCATAGGTGGCAGCCATCTCAAGCCAGAGGACGAGAGGACTCTAGCCGCCACGCATATAAAGGATTTATAGTGAAAAACTTTGTTTTTACGGGTTAATTTTTTTTATTATTATGATAAGGTTGGTGCTGCTGAAGCTACGGCTAGTCTACATAACAAAGGACTGAGCCTTTGCTATGTAGACTGGTTGAGAGGGGGAGGTGCCAGAGTTGTTATCATTTGTCGCCAGGTCGCTTCTGAAATATAAGTTAATACCCTCAGTGGGCTTGGTCTGGTAGGATGGGGATGCTTTAGTTTAATTTGCATGTGTTTGGGTGATTTGTTTATCTTTCTTGTAAAATACTCTTTGGTTATTTCGGTACAGTCACGTAGAAATAAAATAAATTAAATAATAGAATACGACGTCTCGATTGCAACACAAGCAGTCGTCATCAGCTAGAACTAAATAAAATCGTGTAAAATAGGTCATCGATTCCTCCAGGAGTAATTATTAAATATCCTCATTCTAAAGGCTTGTGTTTCTACTCTACCAGAAAGCATTTTCAACCTCACGTCAACACCGAAGCTGTGGTCTTGCGCCACTCTGCCTGTCTCCGACGTGGCTCCGGGGTGACGTCACCATTTGGACAACGTGGCACGCGTGACGTCACCACCGCCGATGACGTCACGTCCCCCCCGCTAAGCACAGAGCCCCCCCCCTCACCTCCACGCGTCACGGCGTCAACATCGGCCGAGCGAAGGTACATTGAGAGGCGCGGGGTGATTAGTTATCGATAACGAATTGTTTAGTATCGAGACAAAGCTGTGGGGGGCACGCGAGCCTCCCCTGTGCCCTTCCCAGCGGGGGGGGGAGGAGGGGGGGGGGCTGTTGTGTTGTAGTTCGAGGGGGGCTCGGTGGCTGCAACAGGCGCGAGTGGGACTATGGCACGGGGGGCCATTGCCAGGCAAGGCCAAGCCACTCGCTAGAAAGTCGCTCAAGCGATGCGTGGTGCTGCGCCTCCCCTAGGTCGGGTCGGCCTCGAATGAGTACAGTACCCGGTGGGGTGTGTGGTAAACGTCGTCGCTGGGGAGACAAAGGCGGCCGGGCGTGGTGTTGGCCACCCCCCCCCCCTCGTGTGCCGTGTTGGCCTTCAGAGGTGCTCTGAAGTGCCCAGCCGGGTTCGTGGCGTCGTTACGCGGGGCCGCTGACTTCACCTTGGACTGTGATTAGTTGATTTGACCAGGTGCTGCTTAAACTATTTTACGATTTAAATTGAACCGTGGAGAGATTGGTGGCGTTGTTCGTGCAAGGTGTGATTGTGTGCAAGTTTATGGGAGGAGATCTGGTGGAAATAAAATAATTATGTTTTATTTTTATTATTTTATTACTTCCCTTCTACGTGACTTTACCGAAAGAACCAAGAAGATGAATCCCTGCCGTCACGAAAGCTTTGAATCGAAAAATGAGATCTGGTGGCTTTCGGTTTGGATTTGCGTTGTTTGACCAGAAACACACTTTTTTTAATGCGGGTCTCGGTTGCCTTTTAATCAAGCATGGGTTATTGATGGCTTTATTTATCCAGCTGAAATAGATGTCTTTTAACAATTAGGCGAGGGTTATGATGGCTTTGGTTCATGAAGTGATATTGACGACATTGGGCAGGTAATTTTGTCCGTAACCCAGTTTTATTTTGTCAGTAAACAAGTCGGTCTTTTGGTTTTTCCAGCTGAGATTGATGGCTTAAATTAAATCGGATGAAAAAAACGTAATCTTATACATGTGAGGGGTTACTTTGATTTAATCAGGTGATATCGGTGACTTTACCAGGTGAAATTATGATTTACTTCAGCAGGTGAGTCTGAACGCAATTGGAGGGCCTTGTTTAACCAACTGAGGGGTTTAGGGCTTTGTTTAAAGGGTGAGATTGATTTCCTTTATTTACCTAGGTGATATTGTTCCTTTTTCGTTTGGGACTGCTTATGAGTTAACCAAATAAGAGCACTTTGGAAATCGTTGCCCCTTTTAACACGGAAGCTTTAACAAACTTAACTAAATAGTGTAAGGTTTTGTTTTAGTGTGTGGATAATTTTTCAAAATGTGTTCTAATACATGCTCATGTTTTCTGAAACTTTTAACTTCTACTCCAATAGGCAGCAGTAATTGGGAATTGATCTCGAGTCGAACTACTTTTGGTTTGACCTTACAAGACTCTGGGGATGAGGCTTTTAACAGACCACGTAACCCAAAAAATATATAGGCTTTCTATCTGCACACCTAGGCTCCGTTTCTCAGGCTGTCCGATGAGAGTTTGAAGCTTCAATAATGAGAAAACTAAACTTAACATTTTAAGTAAAGTGACTTATTATGACACGAGTAACAATGCCCCCTCTGAGTGAATACAATGATTTGGCATAGCTAGAGGGCTATAATGCAGCACGTGACTGTGGTTTTAAAGTATATTTGTGTCATTGACGAATGTTCAAACTCATCAGATGGCATGAGCCACGCAGCCTTCGTGCATACCTGTACTAAAAGAGCCATTTGCCTTTTGAATTGCTTCTTGATTGAAGGTGTGGAGCATTGGCGCGGTGGTCATCCCACTGGGTTATGACTGTAGACCTGAGTTTGATTCTAGGCTATGGCTACCATTAGTGGCGTCTGATATCCGAACTGGTGTTAGGCCTCCGCCCCCCCCCACTTAACCAACCTGCATAGACCAACGAGGTGAAGTATTATTAAATAATTCTCATGACTGGCACAATGTGAGGAGGCCTTCATCCAGCAGTGGATTTAAAGAGGGTTGTATATATATTCTTTGTATTGCTTTACTGATACTGCAGACCACTTTGTTTTCCATAAAGAGCCATAGCTCGCAGCTCCTTATTTAAACTTGGCTTCTTAAAGAATAACAGCTGCGTCAGAGCTTGTGACAACCGCATTACAAAACCCACTGCAAACATAGCTTAAAGTTGGCGGATGTGCAGGCTGGACTGACTGCCACATGTGTATGAAAGTCCTTCATGGAAATAACTCTTAAGAAGCCAAATACTCGTGTTCGTGCCAGCACTGAGCCCACGGTGGAAATTCTGCATTGCTGTGGTGGGCAGAGTCAAGTTTTAGGGTGTCACAAATGGGAGCTTTGCCCAGGGCCCAACACTTTTACATATTTTTCATTATAAAAATGGGATTTTATTTATCTATCAATATAATTAAGTGCTGTCAGGTGGGAGGCGTAGGATGTAATGTCCTGGTGTATCAGGGGTAAGGAGACCTAAATCCAGCTCCTGGTGGCAAGGGGAAATTTTGTATCCATACTTGAACAACAACTATTGGTTTCCCAGAATGTGGTACCCAGATGGTTAATTCCGGAAGAGCTGATGAGACGAATCCACCCCCACCCCCCAATTCGAATTTGCAGGCAGCCTAATCCCTACCTCCAGTTATCGACAAGGGCTCAGGAATTTGGCTCAGGGACTGACTGCCACGTGTAAAGATTCTTCATGCAAATAATTAGGAGGGAGTCCTAACTAAAGACTTGCGTTTGCACCACTTTTTAGTTTTAGTTCTGTAATAATGTTTTCAAGCTTTTCCACGCAAAATTATTAATGAAAGCGTCTGGCCCTCCTCCTCCCTGTGACAAATCAGTGTTCGATCCTTCTCCCTCCTTGCACCCCTCCACTGGAATCAACTTCCCCTGTACATTGTTGAGCACTGCCCCTCCTTGACCTCCTTTAGGTCCTCTCTCAAAGCTTACCTCTTGTCCATTGCCCATTCCCTTCCTCTTCCCTCCCCTCACCCCTCCACTCCTTCCCATCCCTCCCCTATAGCCCTTCCGTGACCCCCATGTGCCCTCCGTTACGGTCGCTCATTCCTTGGCCCTTGCATGACCCATGCCATCTGCATCGCTCTATTTGTGTTACCGCTGTTTAAACTATGTTAAGCGCCTTGAATTAAGGCGCTTTATAAATATGAAATAAGATAGGAATTCCATTCTAGTTCTCATTGACCAACATTTGTTATGTTATTGTTGTGGCTGTATTCTTTAGTTAATCAGGAAATTAAATAAACGTGTGGAGACATGGGTCACATCAAGAGCAAATTCTAGTTCCACTGAATGTAAAAAACTTTTTTTTTAATCAAATTGAGTAGGCCTATTTAGTAAGATTTGAATCTTGTACATTTGTAAACTCCGTAAATGCATTATTAATATATGATGATGCATTTAAACTTGACTGTTTTGTGGCTGACACCATTTCATAATGTTCTTGTTCTGTTCTAATTTATTTTGATGGTGGTGGTTGTTGCGACAGTGTGACAATGACGACGGTGGATGTGAAGAGGGCAATAATGGATGTGAAGATAAACATAGCTGTGATGAAGATGGTAGTTGTGATGATGATAATCATGGCTGTGATGATGATGATGGTAGTTGTGATGCTGATAATGATGATGGTTGTGATGACGTGCATGTGCAGGAGAGGATGATGGAAGAGAGCGGAATTGAGACGACCCCACCTGCATCGCCACCGTCGGCTGGGAGTCTCCCGTCCATCTCGCTCGGTCTGAAAACCCCTGGGCAACTGCCCACCCAACTTAGCCACCACTCTCAACCCCTCACTCTCACCTCTTCACTGTCATTCAACCCAACATCTCATTAACATACAACACATCCGTTCACTAATATACAACTGTACACCTTTGTGTGTAACCTACCAGCACAGTAGCATTCCAATATGGCCACTGGTGTGCACCCCAACAGCTAACAAGCGTACAGCTCACTCCCGTACAATCCAACCGCACCTCCAATTCGCACGGTTGGCTATGTATGGTGCGAAAGAAGTTCAACATACATGCAGAGGTTAGCCGCATGACTAAACGCCAGTGTCGTGTCGCGTATGTGCGAGCATGGCGCATGCAGCAGGGACCATGTCACCGATGCTGGTTCCCGTGCCTGGACCATCGTCCATGATGTCGAGCACGCCCTTCCCGCCGCCCCCCATGTCTGGAGTTTTGGGGATATCCAGCATCTCCCCCGGAGTTCCACCAGCTCCCGAGGGTCTCTACAGTAGCCCGGGCCTGGCAATTTACTCGCCACCAGGTACCTGTCGTACCAATCACCGGGTACCCATTATACTCTCTACCTTCGCCCGGTGTTCCTCATATCCATCACCTGCTGCCCACCATTCCATTTACCAGGAACCCATGACTTGGTACCCATCACCATGTGTGTTTGTGCTGATCCCACAATTCACTTCATGCACTAATAATAAGCACGTTTACTATCCAGCGCCATGTTTCAGAGACAGTATCGCCAGACCGAGGCCTGTGGCGACGCTCAAGTGTAGGGGCACTGGTGACTTTCAGTCCAATTCCCAAAGGCTACCTGACACAAAGATGTTTTAAAAACAATTTTTGAAAGTCTCGTGAGGTATGTATGGATTGAAGGTCATCTGGCTGAGCATTCCAGGCCGATGGAGAGGCGACTCTACCGGACATTGCAGTTCTGGGCAGCCAGTGGTGTAGCAATGGGCTTACAGGGCTGGAGGGGTTCAGGCTCCGGGCTACATTCCATGCACCAGGGCTCATGCCAACCATGCTATGCCGTTGTGCATGCTGGCCTCACTTACACTAACGGCACTTGCATCTGTCACTACTGTCTGTAAAACTATATGGGGATGTTGGTGTGTTTGTGATGTGGGTGCGCAGGGCCTCCCCACATGTCAGAGTTCACCGCTGTTGCGGCCGTGACATCGGAGGGCTCGGTGACATCGATGGGGCCGATGGGGCCGTCTCTCCCGCCGAGCGGTGGCTACATGGGGGGCAGCGGTTACGACGTGACACGGGGCCACGGCGGCCGGGCGCCGCAGTCTCCGTACCTCTCCACCGTCTCTGCGCCCAGCGTCGGTGGGTGCCCGGGGCAGCTGGTGAACATGCGGTAACGCGCGAATGCATGAATAGCGACGATTAATGTCGTCTTAAAAGGAAGACTCAACCCCGAATTAACACTCTCCAACTATGGTTGAGAGTGTTGATTATTAGCTCTGTCCGTCCACAGTATCGAGCTACTCTAACTCTCGTGAAGGTGATAACAGTATGAAAGAACCTGGTATAAAATTGTGTTGCTGTTAGGGATTTGTACTCTTGAAAATCGACCAAATTGATCAAAGGGTTGCCCAAAAGTTTGAGACATGAACCGGCACTAAACGGACCCTGACACCGACCCATTGGCTTCTGTACTGCTAATACTTCCAAAACTTGATGAATGCTGGAAAACTTTACGTAACACGTGCTTATACATGACTTTTCCAAGCTTGTCTCGTAGATGTGTGTGACCTCAGATTGTCACATTTGAATTGAAGTTGCCGCATTATTCCAAAGATGTTGTTTTAAGATCCGTGGGTTGTCACACCTGCCAGAGGCAAATCTAAGGCTCGTTTAGGAACCATATGATTTTCGAAAATGCCCAAGCCAAATCGAGACTACAATGAATTTTCACAATTTGGGGAATCACAACTTTATTCCTGAGATTCCATGTAAACGCCCAAGTCTTTCATAGCCACAGTTAAGCACACCTGGAGGGATGTATTGCTGTTACGAATCGATTCAATATTTACTTGCCTGCATCGTCACAATCGACTTGACGTTCCCCTCTCGCATGACCGCTCGCTCAGCGCCCATGATGGCAGGGCCCATTGCAATGGCACCGCCGCCGCCCCAGGCTGGGCAGCATCAGCACGGCTCCTCTATCACCTTCCCCGAGGAGCCCGACGACCACCAGCATCACCACCACGATCACCACCAGTGCCAGCACGGGCACCACGAGCATGCGGCGCAGGGGGGCGGCATCTGGGGCTTCTTCAAGGTAGACCTCCTCTTGTGGGCCATGCTGCGGGTACGGCGGCGCTGGGAAAGAGGAGGGCGCGGAGGGGCCTTCCGAACGCCAGGCAGTGCCGCTCGCCGCCGTCTGTCTGTCCAGATAGACGCATGCGAATTAAATTATTTTCTATGCATAAAGAAGACACAATTAGGACAAAAATACAACTTAAATGTTGTTAAGTGTGCAATACAAATTCAAATTGCCCTGATGGCACACGTTAAGCAACAGTTTAAAAGGCAAATTTCACGAGCATATTATTTTGATTAGAAAAATCTGTTTGGCAATGTGGCCGTAGGTGTATGTTTACGGGTCAGCTGATTCGCAAACAATTAAGATCTCTGCTTTTCCGCCCACCCCCCTCCTCGCCCTCCTAGCACCTGCCTTCAGCATGGCACAATGAATTTTAACAGCGTAAATTATGGGCTTGGAGTTGCATTGCGGGGATTTGGCCAGATGTTCGCACGCACGCGATGTGCCGGGCCGTGTGCTGCAGCGTGAATTATAACGCGATCATTCGATGGTGCCACCACTTGGGGAGTTGGGGGCGGGGGGCGGGGGGGAGAACACAAAATTAATGGGTTAGCGCAATTTTGTCTCGTGCATGGAGCTCTGGCAAAGCAGGGCGGTCGGCTGCACTGACTGGCGTTGAAAACTAGCCGTGACTCGGCTTTGTGAAAGAAAAGAAAACACACCTCTGGAATGTTAAATAAATTCCCACCATGAGGCGGGAAAGACTTGAGGTGCACAGAGTCTGGTTACTGCGCCGGGTTCTCCCGAACCCGTGTGTGTTCCGGCTGTAAACGCTGTACCCGCCCACAAATGGAGGTTTTTCTTGGAGGAGGAGACCCAGATGTTACACTCGAGTGAGTCACGTCCCCCTCCTCCCCCAGCACCTCACCCCACACCTCCACTCATTCACAATTTTGTGTCGGCTCAAACCTCGCTCACAGGTGCAAAACATTGAGCAGAAACTGCCGGTTTTCCTTGGGGGGGAGGGGTGAGTATGAAGGTTTCCGTCAGTTTCGTCTCAACCCAACGCACACCAGCCCAAGCTAACCCAGCCTCGCCGGCCTTGCGGCTTCTTGGAAAATCTTCTTGGTTCTTTTGGTAAAGTCACGTAGAAGGGAAATAATAAAATAATAAAAATACAACCTAATAAAATACAATTCTCACGACGTATCGGCCACAACGCAAGCAGCCGTCCTCAGGTGAAGAACAGGTCTGTCATTCAGACGCTGTCTTTCAGACAGACCTGTTCTTCACCTGAGGACGGCTGCTTGTGTTGTGGCCGATACGTCGTGAGAATTGTATTTTATTATGTTTTATTTTTATTATTTTATTATTTCCCTTCTACGTGACTATACCGAAAGAACCAAGAAGATGAATCCCTGCAGTCACGAAAGCTTTAAATCGAAATTCTTGGAAAATGTTAAGGCTGTTGGCCACCAACAGCATGTTCTCTGTTCACAACTGTGGTGACCTGGTGGGTACGTTGAGTTTGTTTTACTTAACCATGTGAGATACCACGATAAGTAATTTGCAAGAGTGGGGCATTGATCTGCCAGTTGGGAGGCCATGAATTCTGTGCGCAATCCCAATTGAGTAATTTGCAGTAGAATTTTTTCGAAATTGGGAAATGTGGACCGTGTCGCCTGCACGCAGTGGCCTGCTCGTGCGATGTTTAACGTCCATTGTGAGCGAAGCAGACGGTTCGTCGCATTATTATTGTGAATGCACCCACTGTAATACACTCATCTCGACACCGTGACTCTGGTAGCCAGATGTTAACTACCTCGCCTGGTGTACAGGAGGTCGTGGGTTCGATCCTGACGCCTGTATATTTGGAGTTTTCGCGTTCTCCCCTTGGTCGCGTGGATTTTTCTCCGGGTCCTCCAGTTTTTTCCCTCCAAATTTAGAATCAAGATGTGTTCAGAGTATTTGGCTGTTGTAATTTTCCACGTGATAAGCCACTTCGTTAACCTATCATTTGTGGCTGGGTCACTTCTGAAAAAGAGCTGTAAAGCTCGGTGGGCCTTACCTAGCAAAATATCAATAGTTTAGTCATTAAAACTGCTACTAATACTCATGTCGGCCACTGGATTCTAATTGTCTGCAACAAGCGGCGAATGCGCTACCATATCACTGAGCGATGGAGTTTTGTCGAGCCAATGCTAACAGCGATTGTTGATAAGTGCATTTGATCACCAATGATTGGTCTACAGAGCATACAGCCTCGGGCAGTCATGTTACATTCGCCTGCGAGAGAGAGCTCGTGATCAGGGTTTTTCTATTTCAGGCAACTCATATTTTTTATAACATACTACCTGTCAAAACCATATGGTTTACCCGTATTATTGTACAGGTAAATTGAGTTTTCAGGTCCATATGGTATACAGCTGTTTCAATACGTTTGTTTGTGTTTCTCCCTTGTGATGGGACTTTGTAGGATGAACGTTGAGATTTACAAGGGCAGGGAGGGACCAATAAGGTCTGAATTGGTCTTATAAATAGGGTCGGCACTGATAAGGGGTTAACAGGTATGTTACAATGAATAATCTTGCAGCAACTATTCCCGTAAACATCTTTATTTTTAGCATCAGAATCTTTGTTTAGAATGGAGGAATTCGATGAGCTATGAAGCTCTTCTTCCAAGATGTCCTTTAGGGTTTCACGGATGTCCAAGTCGTGTTGTGTGTCACGGAATTAAGGAGTTTGTCTGCATGACAGGGGGTGGTTGGCAACCCCGTGGTGAAGACTGTGCTGGACAAGACCAAGCACTCTGTGGAGTCCATGATAACAACACTCGACCCGGGCATGGCTCCCTTCATGAGTACGTCTGGCAAGGGGCTGCAACCACCACCACCGCCACCGCCATTATCAAACGCTGCCACACCGCCTCTATGATGACCACCGTTATACCACCGCCTTTAACACCACGATGACCACCGTCACCACCATTTCCACCACAAAGACAAAGATCCCCCATATAGCCTTGAGATACTTTTTGGGCAAGTGCTGTTAGTGAGCACATATTAAGGCCTGCACAGCACATGATGGGCTGGGTGACCAGTACCACGCCTGGCCACCTTTGCCTCCCGAGTGGCGACGTTTACACACCGCACAAGGTTCTCATTTGAGGCCAAGTCGAACTACCACCACAACCACCTCCTTAACCTACGCCCCCAGCACCACAACCGCCACACCCTCGACAAAGCTGACCCTGCGTGACCCTCCCCCACTCCCTCCACCCGTCAAGAGTCTGGAGGCGACGTGGAGCTGGTGGTCACCTCGGACAAGGAGGTGAAGGTGGCGGCCGTGCGAGACGCCTTCCAGGAGGTGTTCGGCTTCGCCACCGTCACAGGGGAGGCGGCAAGCTCCCACATCGCGCCGCAGCCCGTGGGCTACGCCGCCGGCATGAAGGCGAGTGCAGTTGGGGCGAACGGTCAATTAGCCCTTTCCCATTATGATTGACGTACGGGTACATCATCAGTTTGTCTTCCGATTCCATTCCTATGATGTACGTGTACGGAACCGAAAAAAAAATTACTTTATCGGTACCGAGGCTCCCACAAGGCCATGCGTAGGAGGGTGCGTGGCACAGTTTGGGGCTAGCTGTCATAGAGTGCGGCGGTCATGTCGCTACGGTTCTCTGCGGTGAGTACAATGTCTTTAAGAACGACACTTTGCCTCTCTAAATACAATTAATGCTGAACCGCTTGCGCATTCCGAGATTCAGGGGTGAACAGGACACCCACCCTGCAACTTGCAGTCTCAAAATGGGAAAGGGTTAAGTCGATTGCAAGGTAATGGTAGAGGTGGATGACTGCAATTGCTTTGCCCACACCACTGCTGGCAGAAGGACCTCCACTCGAGGGAGCTCTAGAGAGCCCCTCGAGAGTAGTGGTTCTCATCCTGTGGTCCCCAAGGCCATGGGACGTGGTACACGGAGGCTGCTGCAGATACCATGATTTTCATAAAACCCCATTGTTTCAGCTGCTGCCTTAAGATTGCAAATTCAGTGTGCCAAACCGTAGCATGGTGGCAGCCTCCATAAGTTGGTCGATTCATTGGGCCCCTAACATCCTACCTCCCAAAGATAGGAAACCCCCCCTGGCAGCCACGGTAACGTGGCTAATTATGGCAATGAAGTCACCAAAGCTCGCCCATCGCCTCCTGGCCGGCGGCACACGTGGAAATAGAGGCGAGACTTTTTTTTATCATGTTGCTCGCCGACGTGTTTTCGGGTTTTATCGCACGTTGATGGGAACGTTGTCCGACATTTCTCTGCATATGCTCGGGGGTTTCTTGAGGAACTGCAGCTCCCAACATGTGCTCGAACCCGAGAGCACATCGGAGACCTGTACTGGTGAACCTCGAAAAACCTACGCGGCAACATTATCGAGTTATCTGATTAAATTGAATTATCGAACTGATAATTATAATTAATCGGCGATGCTGATGCGTTGGTAAGAGTGCACGAGCACGACTATCAATTAATATTCAACGCACTCGTCAACAACACTGCAGCCTTAAAATAAAAAATATATATAATCGGCGAGGTTTTGGGAAACGGAACTTATTCATAGCACTTAAATAATTGGCTAGCCAGGCTCTAAAGGTGAGCGGGGGAGCGGGGGAGCGGGAGAGCGGGAGAGCGACCCCATCCCCTGGAAGGGGTGGGGACTCGAGGGCCGGGCCACCGGGGAGAGTGACGGCCGTGAGTCGGACTGTTGGCGGGAGAGTAAATCGCCGGCGCGAAACCGCCATCATTACACGAGGAGCAGCGGAGTAATGGATCCCCGCGGAATCCGTAAATCTCCGCAGCGGAGGGCCCAGAGGCACTTAACCGCTTGGCGCATCTAGCACTGTCAGCGCGGATGGCTCTGATGGCTCTTAATGGGCCGATGGAAGCGCGACCCCCGCGGCGAGTGGGTTAGCGGGCCGCGCTCCCGTCGCAGTCACGCAGGTGCTCTTGCCTTGATATTTCTCATCATCGGCAATCGGCACTTGGAACGGGCGTGGGACCCCTGAGGTTGGCTCGGCTGGAAATGAGTGGCCGGTCAATGCCAGCGCTGGCCAGACCAGCAGCCGCTTGACCCGGCTACTCTGTGCGTTGGCTGTGTGGGCCTGCGTTTGTTGTGTTTGTGAGCATGCATGCACGCATGTGTGCGTAAATCTCCACATACGCCAGTGTATGGTAAGCGTGTGTGTTTGTACGTATGTGTGTGTGACCTTGCGTTTGTATGGGTGTTTGTACGGTTGCGCGGAGCGGTATTTTAGCGGTGAGCATGCTACCATATGAACCACTACAGTAAGTGCTCATGAACAGCATTTGCCCTAACAGTAACAGTCTGCTAAAGATTATATGGGGAATCTTTATCTTTGTAGGGGTGTTTACCTGGGTGGGTGGCAAGGTGCATGTGCGCATGCGTCACAATTTGTGTGCGCGTGAACGTGTGTGCATTAATACTCGTGCCCGTGTCACTGCTTACGTGTGTGCACGACCCATGCTTGCGGGCGTGTGCGTTCGCGTGTGCCCGCGCGTGTACATTCCCGTGCGTCCTGTAGGGAGCCCAGGAGAGGATAGCCGGCCTCCGCAGGTCAGGGGTCATTGCCGAGAAGCAGGTGGCTGTGTCTGTGGAGAACTTCATCGCAGAGCTTCTGCCTGACAAGTAAGGCCCCGGGGGAGGCAGGGGCACAGGGCAGGGGAGGGATGCGGCTAGTAGTACGTGGAGAGGGTGGCCGTGGAGGAGGGGAGTCTGGTGGTGGTGGTGGTTGTGGGTAGCGGTAGTGTAGCGGTTGGCGTGCTGCAAATGCGAACCCGGCGACCAGAGTTATATTTTTATTTCTTATTTTACCAGGTAAGTCCCACTGAGCTTATACAGCTCTTCTTCATAAGCGACCTGGCTACAAATGATTGCTCAACGAAGTGGCTTATCACGTGGTAATTTATTGTAGCCAAATACTCTTAAACGCATGTTTATAAATGTGGAGGTAAAAACCAGAGGACCCGGAGAAACATCCACGCGACCACGGGAGAGAACATGCAAACTCCAAATACACAGCAGCAGGCGTCAGGGTTGGGATCGAACCCACGACCTCCTGCACATCAGGCGAGGCAAATAACATCTTGCCACCTTGGCGCCCCTCAACGAATATCTGAATCGGTCTTGGGCCTCCCCAAGGTCGACTCGGCCTCAAATTAGTACCTGGTGCAGCGTGTAAACATTGCCACTGGGGAAACAAAGGTGGTCGGGCATGGTGCTGGCCACCCCCCACCCCCTTGTGTGCCGTGTCGGCCTTCTTCGGTGCTACACGCTAACTTGCCCTTGCTTTTGTCTTTGGTGTGGCAGCATGGAGAGGATGCGGAGAGGGGGGGGGGGGTGGTGGTGGACTGTCGGGGAGGGGAACACGTGGCGGAATATGAATTAGAATGCATGGCTGGTGTGAGTCACGAGCGTAATGACCCGTTGTGAATTCTCCAAACTAATGGTAATTGAGGACGTGTTTTTGTAATTATAATAATTACGTGGCGTCGTAAGTGACTCGCAATCTGTCACGTTCGTCATTGCGTCGCCGCGCTTGTGAAAAGTGGCCGTGATTGCCCCCTGTGTGCGATTGCGAGTGAGATGATTGTGGGGAGCGGGCGGCGCATCGGTTAGCGAACTGCGCGACGACCCCGGCGACCCGAGTTCGATTCCCCGCTTACGGTCAACGCCGGTGACGATTATCTGAGCTGGGCCTGCCTTAGGTTGACACGTAGTGCCAGTACCTGGTGTAAGACATCGCCACAAAGAAGACAAAGACTGCCCGGCATGGTGCTGGCCATCCACCCCCTTGTGTGCCATGCTCTTTGCCTTTGATCGTTGCGGACGGTGCAGAGGCTGTCTGTGCGATGGTGTCGCCGCGGCGGTTGATCGTGTGGTTGTGTCGCACGCCCCGCTTAGGTGGTTTGACATCGGCTGTCTGCTCCTGGAGGACCCGGCGAACGGGATAACCCTGGAGGCCTTCACTCAGGCCACACCCGTGCCTCTCGAAGCCGTGCAGCAGGTGAGTCAATCAGCCACATCACTTGGCCAGGCTTCTCTCAAACGTGAACAAAAATAAGGACGTCACTAGTGTGTCCGGTAAAGCCTCGTCGGGTGACAAGACTCATTGCTTGGCCATTGCCTTCTTCGTGAGTGTTTTTTTAGTGGAACGTACTTGCCGTGCTGTTGCCTGCACATCAGCTCTCCTCCGCTTTCCCAACCCGACCAGGCACAGGCGCAGAACTCTGCCACGTATGACCTGCGCTGGTCGGGCCTGGCGGTGACGGTGGGCGAGGTGCTGGAGAGGAGCATGCCGCACGTGTCCCGCAGCGACTGGCACCTGGCGCTCACGGGAGTGTCGCGTCGCCTCATGATCTACAGTGCCGCCAAGGCCCTCGCCGGCCTCTACAAGCACCGTCTGCCGTCCAAGATGGCGTGATGGCCGCGCCCTCGCCGCGCGTCGCGCCGTGCATCTCCACTCCGCGTGTCCCCATTCCGCGCGTTCCGACTCCCAGCCTCCGCTCGCTCGCGGCACCCGACTTCGCGTCTGCAACGGCGATCGGTCGTGGCGCACGATCGAGCGCGTGTAACTATTTCCCCGCGTTGGTTGCGACGCGTCCGGCATCTGTGCAGTTGTTTATATCCCCTTCTTATCTCTCTGTCCTGCTGCACGTGGCCGTCCTCTGCCGAGGCGCGACACCGACGTTCTCGCTTCAGTAGCCACGACGGCACTGTGTTGTCGTGCTTGCTGCTGCTGCTGCTGCGGCGGTGCAGCGGAGATGGAGTAGGGGGGGGGGGGGCTCGAGAAGGCACTCGTTGGAACATGAGCGTGCTGTCCGTACCATCGTGGGTTCCTGGCAGGCCGGTCAACCGACTCCGGTTTTTACGTTTTTTGACAACAAAAATCGTGGAGACGATGCTGACGGTTGGAAATTGTCGGCCGTTGTGATAAAAAAGCCTTTACCAAAACACACAACTAGTCATTAACATTCCACGTTCATGGCGGAATTTCTTTCGAGAATGCCAACCCGTGTTTCATATGTACATCGCTAGAGGTCGTATTTACCAGGCCATGACTCTGCTTTCCATTCTTTCTTCATTTTGGGAAGAGACAATAAATGGGTGTGCATCTTATTTCCCGCAGGGTGCGCTTTTGCTGTTCAACCACCGGTGGTAGAATTATTTTTGAAGTTGAGCTGTAAGAGAAGGGAGAAGGGGACACCTGTGTTTAGCCTTAATACTCTGACAGTCAACGCGAGCACATTCATAGCAACTGTTATTAGCCTGGGTAGCGGAGATTCATCGCCTACGCTGGGCGGTTTCGCCAGCGAGCGCAAAGACCCCAGCGTCTTTGCATCGTCGCAGACCGGCGGGCATTGATTTTCTATACGCCAAGACCGCGTAGTCTTATCAGAAATAGTAAAACAAAGTAAATGCGTACATAAGAAACGCCAGTATGGAAAAGGCTGTATTTAGCTTTTAATAAATATTTTGATAGAGCTGCACATTGAAGTGCCGTGTAATTTTTTTACCGCGTCAGTTGTTGCCGGTTGTGCCGCACAGCTTTGCCGGGCTTGGTTTCTTTCCCCGTCGCACGCACGGAGACCCTGAAACCAGGGCGCACGGTCTCTCGGAATTTTCTTCATTTTAACGTTTTTGTTTCATTGATTATATACACACTTATGCTCGCTATCGCCTGCAAACATTCACAAGAAACAAAGTGATTCAATTTAGACTTGGTGCCAAAACATTGTTTTCAATAATAAACTACTTCCCCGAGGAGTATTTGTTTTTTAAGCGATGTTTAGAGAAATGCAACTCTTCGTTTGCGTATGGTACGGTCAAGAAAATTACTCCTGAACAGGCTGACACGCAGTTGAATTTTCGTCTCTTTTTTTTGTGAATGCATTACACCCAAAATGCATTTTAATGTTCAAACCATCTCCGTTTAGAGGGCACGAGGTTAACGGGCAGTGCACAATGCGTGAACAACCGAGCGATTTCGCAGCACGATACAACAAGCCGGGTTTATAGAGCGGCGTCTTCACTGTGACCACATCTCAAGACGCCGGTGCAGGAACGGTGCCCATAGTTTTATGGAGAGAGTGGCAGGCAGAGTAGGAATTTAGCCGATACACTCATGTAGGATCGTTATCGGTGGCCGATACTTTTCCCGGTAGTGGTCGTGCTTTAAGCCAATAGCCCCTAGTCCAGGCATTCAAATACTTAACAAATTAACATGTTGCACGCTGCACTCACCCGATGATGATACAATCACTCTACCATTCATTTTACCCTTTAGCAGGTAAGGTAAAAGGTAAAAAGCAACGAGCCTTCCTTGTACCCTACCCTTACCCCTTGGCATGTCGACACCTTTTAACCTTTACCCTTTTACCCGGTAAAAAGGGTACAATTACCTTACCTTGCCGAGGCCTGTGTGTGTGTGCGCGCGCGTGCGCACCGAGATGTCAATCTTAATTTGAAACATCTCTTCACGCAGGTAGCGTGCACTGCTTCACGCGTCACGTGGGGCGCATTTAACAATCATCAGGCGTAAGCAGCGTGAGACGAGTTGATTTAGAATGTGGGAGTAAAATTTCACGACGCGGAGAGAACTTCGCGAGGTGGGGGGTGGGGTGATGGGTGGGGGGAGGGCGTCGCGAGGACTTGGGAGTGTGGGTAACGCTGCCCCTGGGTCCCAGCCAGCCTCCCGGCCCTCCCGCAGTCTATCGCAGTTGGTGGTGGGGGGGGGGGAGACTTCGCTCCGCCTGTGCCACCAGGCGGCAGCAAAGGACCGCGGCGGGGCAATTCCACGGCGAGTTCTTGGCACAGATGCTGACACGTTCCCCCTCAAGGGCCCAGAAATACGAAGAACTCTTTAATTGAGAAAATGTCCATTTAATATCACTTCAACATCCCCTGCCCCCCCCCCCCTCCGTGGGTTCTATCTGGGCTGTCCGCTTCACTTGGCGTTAGAAGCCCTCTTTATTCAGGGTTGGTGCCCGGAGTGGCTGTTGGTGCTGCGCTGTCCCGTTGCCGTTTGGGAAGAGAGAGAGTGGTTTGGGAAGAGAGAGAGAGAGAGGTTTGGGAAGAGAGAGAGAGAGAGGTTTTGGGAAGAGAGAGAGTGATTTGGGAAGAGAGAGAGTGGTTTCGGGTCACAACAGGTTCGTAGCGCGGTGCCAACCGCGGTGCCACCCTTCGCCCTGTCTTACAATTACAGTGGGTTGTTTGTATTCATTCATTTGGCCCGATGTACGAATTATATTGAACTTTTTTCGCACCGTACATAGCCGAACCGCGCTAATCGGAGGTGCGATGATTCACGTGAACCGTTCAAAGTGTTTTCATAATCGAGGGGTTTTTTTTTGATTAGATTGCGTAAATATAAATGTGTCGTTAAATCCGCCAACACCCGACCACACAGCCAATTGGTAAGGTTTGTCACGTTACTAGCACGGCACACCGGTGTGTCGGAGTGTATTTTTATACTTTTTAAAGACGTGAGACTTTTAAGAAATCTCGTTCGGGTAAAATATTCGAAACGTAATTTCTACTTACGACGGACAATCCGTAACTGAACAAACGCCAAAAAAAGTAATGCGCCCCGAAATAGTTTTTAACACCCAACGCCACTAAATCCCAGTTGATTATCGGTTTCGACGGCGCGTGAATTTGTCAACGTCCCCGACGCACTGACGACGTTCAGGGCACGCTCCCTGGTTTGAAAATTCACGCTTCGACCGTGCGTGGCCAGATTTCTGAAATCGCATTCCCCCGTGGCACCTCTCCCATCGATGTTTCAAGCCGCACGGCCAAATCGTGGGGGCTGCCCCCCCCCCCGCCCTTGACAGCACCCCCCCCCCGTACGCCAGGGGGGGGGGGTCTCTTGCGGCCGACGTGCAGAGTTATCGAGCGGCCGAACGTTTCTCGGCGCCAGCCAGCAGCGCACCCCGGTTAATGAGGCCATTAGGTGGAGACAAACGGCGTTTGGCGGCGACCGCATCGCGCGCCAACTTTTGAAGCCCCACCTCCCCCCCCCTTTTCGCGCTCGGCTCTGAACGCGACCCACGGTGACCCGAAAGCTTCTCGGCTTGAAGCGACGGCGCTGCGGAGAGAGAGAGAGAAAAAAAATGACGGCACCGAAAGCGCCTTTCCTCGCGCGGCGCGTGGCTTTGTGCGGCGGCTCGCAGAGTCCGCGTGCTGTGCCGACAGCCTCAATGGAGGTCTCGGCGTGGGTGGGTGGGGGGAGAGGCCGAATTGGATGTCTCCGATGCCTTCGCTGAGATGAAACCGAGGGTCGCTCTGGTTTCACAATGCGGGCCACGGTTTGGTGAGGATGAGCCGCAATTGCGTGCCGTCGGGGGCTTTCACTGATGCCCCACGTGCGCGCGGTGTGGGACGCAGAGCTCGCGTTTAGCCTCGCGGGGGCAGGTGGCGTTATGGGGGGCCTCTTCTCGCTGCCTCCGTCATTCTATGCCAAAGGCTTCTCCGTCCATTCATCCGTTCGTCGTCATCATCACCGTGGTCAATGTTGTTATTCTAGGTTCTTTCGGTAAAGTCACGTAGAAGGGAAATAATAAAATAATAATAAAAATTACAATAAATTTCTCACGACGTTTCGATTTCAAACACAAGCAATCATCATCAGGTGTGAAAGGCACAGCAAGAAACACCACAGCAAGAACATTTGCTGTGGTTTTCACACGTGATGATGATTGCTTGTGTTGCAATCAAAACGTTCGTGCGAATTTAGTAGTATTTTTATTATTTTATTATTTCCCTTCTACGTGACTTTACCGAAAGAACCAAGAACATGATTCCCTGCAGTGACGAAAGCTTTACATCGAACAAAAAATGTTGTTTCGAGTGGGAACTAATTTGTGATAGGTCTCGGAGTGCAACGAGGTATGTTTCACGCGACTGGTGAATCACAGGAGACGGTAGAAACAATGGACATTGCAACTCGATTACAAGCAAATGCAGTGTGGGAAAAGTGACCGCATGTAATGGTGAGTGCCACTGAGTTACGAACCCAGTGAGCCTGAGTGACTAAGTTTGTTTCTTAGCCACGGCTACCGTCATTGGGGAGTTGGCATCAAATCAAAGCTTCTACATTCCGAGATCGTTGACAGGGAAGTGACCAGCAATGGATGGAGTCAGGGATTAATTTCGACCGGATTCTGTCCGGGTCAGGAGGTCCCGAAAAATATTTTCTCACCCGGCACACCACATCTAAGTGGAACTCTCGCCGTATGTCTGTGACTAACTACTTCGTCACGTGCCCAATACCGCCACTAAGTGACGGTGAGGTCACCACGGCGCCTGTGCCAGGCCAGGTGCACTTTGAGGCCACGTGAAGTGTCGAAGGCTCGCTGGCAGGAGGTCATGGGACAGACCCTGCAGGTGCCATGGGTTTGGCTAACTGAGATGACTGGTAGATGCACCACCACCAGCTGTACCCCCGATTGTGCCAACCCGCTCCACTTTAGCCTGCCCGGCGCTCCGCTCGTTGTTGTGAGCGTCGCTCCTCTGCCCTCCGTTGTTGCTGGAGCGCGACTGCCTCCAACTGCCCAGTAGCAGCAGCGTCCTTCACGAGCCTCCTCCACACACGTGCCCACACACACAAAGATCCCCCGTCTAGCCTTAACAGACTGTAGGGGCAAGTGCTGTTAGCGAGCACCTATGAAGGCCACACACACACGTGACCAGACACACACGTGCGCGCAGACGCACACTCGACGAGAAACTAAGCCCTGGGCGCAGACATTGATTCGTTTGATGACGGCGATGAGAAGAAGTGACTTCGACTGAACAATGGGCGCGCGCGCGCGTGCTGTGCGCGCACGCGTTGCCTGGCTGAGCCGTGACCGTTCACCCCGCGGCACCGTGACAGCAGCCGTCTTGAGATTCTCCCGAGATTATTGAGGTCTGTAATCAGAAGCGGGATTGGGAGGGACGGGGGAGTACTGAAATATTGGCATAACACATGCCGTTGCATTGTCAATACAATTTGAATATATTATGTAGAGGTGATAGGGGGATCCATTTATCCATACCCCACTGATTACTAATGACCCTGCGACGTTATTCTCGATTGAATGTTGTAATCAAATCAGACCGGCGATGTTGGACAAAGTGCATCCAGGACAGTGCTAAACGATGTAGTAAATCAATTGTGATTGGGTGGGAGACACTTACGCGACTTTGAATGAAAGTATTGTTTACTCGATAATTTCTGCCTATTTTGTTGGTGGGGTATCTGCAAACGGATCACGCAGGAGAATGGCAGAGATATACAGACCCGTGCCACTCCAATCAGAATCTTGATTTCGACTGCAGGCGGAATCTGATGAGCTCTGAAGCTCTTTGTCACGCGTGTCCAGTAGGGGCGGGTCAGCAAGTTACAACAAACACAAATCCCAAAAACGATAGCAATGCAAAATAGAGAAAAATGTAATAAAGTCACTAAACTGAAACAATAACTACGATTTAATTTTATTTCGAT